TTAATATGGGATAATGCAGAAGCGGGTATGGTTCAACTGAGGATCTGATATTGTAATAACCAAACAAAAATGGAACTTGAGTGGTTTATACATGTTATCAGAACTCTTCAGGTGAATGGAGGTCTTACTAAGAGGATATATTTTTTTATAACTGTAAACTGTACAGTCTGATAAATGTTTAATATTAAACTTATCTAAAATTCTAATAAAATAAAACATACAAGGACAACATCTACATGAAGTAGTTCAAGTTGTTTTTGCTGTGGCTCTAAGAAACAGTTTATATTGTGTTTGCTATCACAGTATCCCTGTTTAATAAAAAAAGGGGAGCGGGAGTCACATAAAGCAAAAAAATGGGAGTCAGTATTACCTAAATAAAAGTTTCTTGCTCACCAGATGAAGCTGGCCACAATACATTGTGCAGATTGGCCCGTCAACACACAGCAGACCATGGGCTCCATCTTACAGACACTGCTTTAACAGACAGGTAATCTCATTTTGCAGTTTGCATTTCCAAATTTTGTATGCTTGCCAGGAATTGGATAGTAATGAAAACTAAACACCATAGCTACAGAAGATGCCCTCATGCTTTAAGTGACTTTCCTTTTCGTATGTTTTTAGGCTTCTACATTTCTTCTTCTAAAAATGCTCTAACAATTAAGTTTATTGGTAAGAATATAATAAAATAAATAAAATATAATTAAATATATATTGCACAACATTCACTAAAATGTGTTCTTAGTAAGCAGAAGTTCACCTTTTCCTGAATCTTTCCCTCTTCCTATCAGGAGACAGAAACATAGCATGTGAACCATGTATCTTAACACAAAAATTTAAATTCTGAATCAGAAAAGGCCCTGAGCAAAACTCCAAAGAATAAAATGTAACTTCTAGACTTGATGTTTTATCATTTCCCTCTTCTAGTCTGGAGAAAACAAGCAGAACTGAAGCTGGTAGTGAAGTGACTTACCAGACTGATAGAAAAACAATGATTAGGAGTCCCAGATTCCCACTCAAGCACCATCTGCAGTGAGCTACATTCCTTGATCACTCCTATAGTCTTTGTTCAACTTAGAGAAGACCTGTAACTGAATTCTCTTTTCCTCAGCACCTCTTTCTCTCTCTGACAAGCTGTTCACACTTAATTTGTACAGGGCACCATTGAGTCTTGATGTGCACTCCATCTTCCCAGATTAGTTTAGTCGAATAGCCACCTCACCACCTACATCCAAGCAATTGTTTTACAACAAGAGATTCCCTATGGCCAGGCAGCAGAGAAATCCTTAGTGTATGGTGCAAAAGAGTTGCTGAAACTGCTTCAAAAAGAATGAATGAGCAGATAGTATGTTGGTAAGGTGACCCAAAGCCACAAGCAGCAAAACGCATGGGAATATGAGAAGCTGCTGGGTGGTACTAGTTGTCCATCTAGCCCAGTATTTTGTCTCAATGGCAAAAGTAAATGTCATTCATGGACAGCATGTGAGCCTAGTCATTATTTGCAGTCCATTTCTTTTGTATTCCCTCAGCACACAAATAGAAACACCAGGGATTTCAGAGGGCACCTCCCTGTCTAGTCCTTCTATACCTCTTTATGGACTTGTTGTCCATGGATTTTTCTGGCTCTTGTTTTGAAGACCATCTTAGGGTCTGCCTCTGCAACCTCTTGAGGTAGCAAGTTCTGGAAATTCACTATCCAGTGGGAAAAAGGCTTGACTGCTTCTTTGCTTTAATTCAGGCTCCTACTATTTTCACTGAGCAGCCCCTACTTCTCATATGTAGAATTTTGTGAGCAACAGTTCAGCATTACCTTTGTGTCAGAGCTTCACTTGTCTGCCACCTTCCCCCTCTCTTCTCCAAACCAAAGAGAGGTATGACTTCAATTTATTGATTCGTGAACAACTCTTGATTACTCATACTATCAAAACCACCTGTGTTGTGTGTATTTTATTTAAGTAGAGCATTTTGAGCTTCTTGTAATACAATGTTCTCAGCATCTTAGAGAAGCCTTAATTAAGAAAAACCCACACATCAAGTGTAATGTTCATATTTCTCTCCATTTGGAAGCGCGAGGGAGAACAGAATGCTTGAGCATTTCTAACTATTATTAAAGATGCCCAAAGAAATAATATTGTTTATGTTGTGGGATTTGAGACTAGGTAAGTAATCATGAAATTAAGGACTGTACTATAATGTGAATAGAAGGTAAGAAAAAATTTAAATTGTAAGGTCATGTGGTGCCCCTCTCAGTATCAGCACCTCAGGATCAGGAAAGACAGTGGGGATTAAGATGCAACTGAGAATGAAAGGCCTGATTTCTCTTGATTCTTAGTGAGATCTGGGAGCCTAGATGTCTCCTTCTCCAGGGAAAAATCCTTCACCATATAATTTCCAGAATTTAAACATCAATTTAAGTAGAATTTAAACACCATTATAATATTGCTGCTGTGTAACTTGGCATGGTTTTTCTTTCAGAATGTATTTTAAAATACAGAAAAATTCGAATAGCCTTTATGACCGTACACCTTCCTATGCATCATTATATTATCTGCCAGCGGTATCTCATTTCTGCAGCCTTAAAAACCTAATTTCATAATCCTCGTACCAACCAAAGCAAGGTATCTCACTGCATTTTCTTTCTTTTATCCCTATTGTTGTAGTGTATTTTCATAGAAATACTTAGGCTGTAGTTACTAGGGACAAAAACGCCTCTGAGTGCCATGTCCTATGAAGTCTGGGCACCAAGGTCAGGTCACTGACTATTTCAATATCCACGTCTCCATACCTGTAGCTGAGTAAATTCTGCACAGTGTTTATTTCAGGCCTTTTCTTGCTCATCTCAGAACAGTTGTTTAAAAATGTCTATTTTCAGGGTGAAATGTTTTAAGCCTTATGTTTGACTGAGTAGTAGAAAGCAGAGATAACGTTCCCGTTCCAACTCCAGCTCCAGGGACCTGCCAGGCCTCTCTTTCCCAGCTTTTGCTGACCCCTGAAGCCCTGATAAACACAACCAGCTGAGCCTGGCTGGTCCTTTGTCCTGCGTGTCAAAGGAATAATCACACCCTAACTGCTTACTCTGCCTTTGGCCCCTCCTGTGTCTTGCTCCCCTCCCCATGTTCTGCTTTGCATTGTAATTCCCTGGCTTTCTGACCACTGCCTCTGACCTCCTTTTCATTTTGCCCTTCAACTTGGTAAAACTGTATCCACTTTCCTGCCCTTTGGCTTGGCTTCTGGTCCGAGGTCTTGCCTAGATGCTTGCCTTGTATATCTTTACTCTTCTAATGCCTGACTTTGACTTGCCTGGCTCTTTCTATTGATTGGGCTCTACACCCAACTTCAGCTAGATACTAAGGTATTGATTACTTGTTAAAGTCCCAAAAGAAGATAAATTTTGTTTTTAGTTTCATTCTTTCTTTTTGCTACGTTAGGAATATAACTCTCAGCCTTCAAACTGAGATAGGAATGATCTGTTCTTTGTCTCTGAGAGAAGGGTATTTCTTTTTTTGCAGGGTGAAATTGTATGTCTCAGATTCAGCTCTCAAATATGGAGTGAAAAACATGTTCCCAGCCATTAACCTGAGACCCTTGATTCTGCCAGAAATTCTCTGGCCAACAGAGTTCAGCAGCAAGCACCTTGACAACAGAGAGGTATTAGTTCAAGTGAAGACCTGTATTAACACGTTACCTCACAGGGACTTAGCCAGGAATGGATGCACTGATGACTTTTTACCATGACAGAGAACTGACTTTAAACAATACTCCCAAATTGTGGAACTATTTTTTGATCACGTGTTCACAAATGCCTGTTCCAAATCTGTGAGAAAACTGTTAGCATGTGAAGCAGGACCTAATGTAGTACATTCAAAAATGTTTCTTGTTTTGAGGCAATAAGAAGAAACAAGCTGACTGGATCATATTCTACTTTTCTCTGTGCCCTGGTACACCAGTGATTTCATAAAGCGGCAGTCAAGAGAAATGTTACAACTACCATTTATGAACATACACTCTATCCTCGTGTATAGCCTATATTCAATTCACGAAAATATTTAAGAAAGAGCTTGAGTGCTTTCCTGACAAGGGTATTTCCAACCAGGGCCTCTGTTCACATCAGTTCTTTCACTAAGGCAAGAATGAAAGCTAAGGTAATCTGAAAAGTTCACTTTAAATCTTAATTTTCACATTGCAGTTTTCTGATGAGCCCAATCCCCATTAAGCTACATATTTTCTATGCATGGCTTAACAATGACCTGTTTTTTAAACAGTAAAATTCTATGCTCTTTTTTTTTCTTCTTTGAAGAAGGAAAATATATTTTTTGCCTTTTCTTTTGTTAAAACGTTTTTAAAATCCAGTCTTGTAAAAGGCCAGTTCTACAATTCTGTGATTCTGTGTGCCTCTGTGAGCAGGGGAGCATTTACACAGGGCTCAGTGCTGGTCAATGTCTCCACACACCCAAGTGACAGTCAGACCTTGCCATGCTTGTTTGAGTATGCCAACAAATTTTCATCACTTCAGACACCCCACAGAATTTGGAGGAAGAGTAAAAGGGTCATCCACTAATAATCTCTAAAAATATGAAAAATAGAGTTCTCAGCTCAAGATGGGCCATCAAATGTGAAAAGATAAGCAGAATAAAAGAACATAGATTTTAATTTGATTTGTTGTATATGGACCTCTTCTACTTTCACTGAATTTAGAAGAAACATTTCGAAAATATAACCATCTAACTGGAAAACAAACTTTGCTACTGTGACTCCATATACATACAGATGGTGAAGTTTTGGTAAAGGCAGAAAAAACCCCAAACTCTAGCACTTAGATCCCATTGTCTTCTAGAACTTGGAGGTTTCATGCTTAGGAAAAATAGCCAATTTCTGAATAAAAAGAACTGGAAAGAGGGAATTACTTGATTTTTTCTCTCTGCTGAGCTAATGAATATTTTACTGAACATGAGAAAGTACTAATCTACTTTTTTATTTCATGAAAAGCAATCTTGAAAACTCACCAAAGAGGACTGGAGAATTACAGTGTTCTCTATCCATCCAACTCTGTTTTCCACTACATTCCCATTTTCTTCCACCTTTCTTTCCAATCTGAAAAGAAGGGACTGATGCTAAGCTCCCTCTGTTCTCTAGCCCTCAATTAAAATTCATGATGTGAACACCTAAAAGTCAAAATGCAGAAGTCTGCCCTCGGTTCTTACTCAAGTATAACTGTTGTTAACTTTTGATAAATTTGACTCATTTTTGTACCATTTTATGTATTTTCTTCTAAAATATTTAAAATAGTTTCCTTCATGTAGGATATACAGAGTATTGGTATTTACCTACTTACACTGGTGATGTTGAAGTGTAGTGCTATTTGAGGTGGCACGAAAGAAGCCATCAGATTGGTGGTTTTGTCATACATGAATAATGTATCCAATCCAACTTCATTTTGACAATATCATTATACTAAACTATGATATATAATTTTTATATACTCTAAGTATTTTTTAGCTACATGTGGTATACAGTCCAGCAAAAACCCCACCCCTAAATGACATAATGACATTACTGAGGCTGGTTTCAATGAAAATAGTACTTACAAAGTATAGCACAGTAGTCACTATATATTCATTCCCTCTCCCATCAATTAATTACATCACCCTTTAAGACAGACATATAATGTAATTAGAGATTTGAACAGTTCACAGCCAGATCACTTAAAGTAACATTGTTAATGGGCTTTAGAAGTTCTCCTTTTAGTATTGCCAGTGTTATAACTTCTAATTACCTTAATAATTAGGGCTGTGTCATTCATGATTGAGGTAACAGTTGCTAACACTAATGGGTATGAGAGGTCTCTCAGAAGGCATGTTTTGATGTTCTCGTCCAGTTGCTTAGGGCAGGCAAGAGCTATTTGTCCTTGGAAACATAGCAGTTGCTATGTGGTGGCCTGGGCAGAGGCATCCTTACCAACCACTTTAATAGCACCACCACCACTGCTGTTTTCATCAAGGAGTGACTGTACGAAATGCTCTCACCAGGCACTGCCCTTGAAATGCAAATGTGGCACCTACGGATGAAATCTGTTGAACTCTAATTGCAATTGTTGTTATTGCTACAAATAACAGTATAAACTTGAATGTGAAACCTGACAGAAATTCAAAGAAATCCATAGGTAACCCTTCCCCAATCCCAACCCTACAAATTAGCAATGGTTAAGGTTTTCAAAGTCCAAGATGACACATTTACTTAGATGTGTTTCATTGTGCATGAGTAATTCTAGGTTAAAGTCTAAAGGAAAGCAATTGGAATTTGCAGCTATTTTGTCGAGATATTACACTAGTATCACCATTTCAAGTCCATTTTTTCTAAAGACTTCTGGCACATATACTGAAACCAAGCCTTTTATGAAGAATAAGAGTCAAAGTTCCTCTGTATTTGGCTGAAACCAGAAATTCAGAGATAAAAGCCTGTTTGTTGGCCATGCTGCCCTTTGAGGCTTAAGAGTTCATGGAAGAGTGGAGAACTCAGGATTTACTCTACTGTCTTCCATACCTCAAATTTACCAAGATTTGTGTAATTAGAGACCAAAAAAAGATTTGGAGAACTATCAAACACAAGTAAATACAAAAAAAGAGCAACTTCATTGGACAGACATTCACCAAACTGGTTTTAAGCATCTAGTTAGTCCCTGAGGACTAGGAACAGAATGACCTCTCTTATTTACTTTGCTTTTTGGAATGTTATTACATGTATAATATGACAGTGATGGAAAATATTAAATCCCCAGGGGTCAGGGGAGCATTTATTTCTTACATTTGTTTGTTTTCCAGACATAGATTCAACTGATTTCCTGACTCAAGTTAAATTACACTGAATAGGTAAAAGGGCAACTCTGTGATACAGAGAAGAATGCCCTAGGGATAAAAAAAAAAAAAAAAAGACTGATTTATCCCAGTCACACTAAAAAACCCCAGGAACTTAACATTTATTAGACTGGACATGAAGGACATACTCATATAGATAAGATACAGATGGTAAATTAGCCCTTTAAAGTACAACATTGAAATCAATACACTACACAGACACCACAAAGACACTCCCATTCCTTTTCATCTAAATTAAAATCTAGGTAAAAACCAGAAAAAAACCCCCAAAAAACCCAAAACAAAACAACCACCAAATCCCAAACTCATGTAGGTACTTGAGCAACAGGTGTGAGAATTTCCCTCTCTCATCAGGTAAATATATAAAGTATTCATGGTTGAATCAGATTTAATTTCTATAGGCTTCCATTATTAGTTTGGCAAGTATCCTTTCTTCTTTTGTGCTCCTTTTCAGTGAAAACAAAATAATTATAAGAGTACTAGCTTTGTCTGCTTTGACCTGAAAAAGTATTACATACACTCCTTTACATACAAATACAATCTCATCAAGGAAAGAATTTCCATTAGGAGTGATCATATTTCCTGTTGACTACAAGATATAATTCCAGGATTCAAAAATCCCTATATTAAAGTAATCTTGAAGATTTTTACATCAGCAAGTCACAAAATACATGAATGAATATTCACATACATATATGTGTTTGTATACATTGTATGTGCATATATATGTATGTAGATACACACAACTCACACATATCATAGTGACACTAGTGCTAAACATTTTGCTCATACATTCCTAAAAGTTTTCAGAAAATCTTTACTAACCATTTGGCTACAAACCTATTTCACTAAATTTCAGAGCAGTCGTGACAGAAATTCTACAGCTATACCCTTAACTAAAAGACAAAAGCTATGAGATCTTAGCTCACATGAAACTATGCCAAGATCATTTAAGGAGCCCAAAGCTACTTGTAATGCAACACAAACAACAAGTAATTCAAAGTACTCTATGGACACATCCTGTCATAGAGGAACTTGCTACCAGATTTCCAGGTACATTAACAACATCAGCTATTTATGGGCCATTTGCTGTGAATTACTGTTACATTAAATGCCTAAGCAATTTTTTACACGCATAATCCCACGTCATAACTACATGCATATGAATAAGGGTATGCATGTAACAGTACTTACATTAACACTTTATGTTTGCATTTTAGAAGAACATTTAGTGCAAGTATTTTTGCTAGACTCAGACAAATTAAAGAAAGTAACCTGGTGACTCCAACTTGGCAAAACACAGGTGCACATCATATGGAAGAAAAACACCCTTTAGCCCTTGTGCTAGGAAAACGTTTATCTTCGTGCATTAAGCCCAGCCACTCCATTCAGCAGAAGAGGGCATAATGGGGCTACCATGCCTCTGTCTTCTAGGTGTATCATCCTCTTTTCTGTCACAACTCCCATCCATCCCAAAATATGCCTTTGTCTAGTATATCCTATGGGTACACATTAAGCTTTTTCTTTTCTGTCTCACCCTGTGGAGACTCAACACAAAAAAATCCCCAGTGTCTCACTTGTGCACACACAGGCTTTTAGAGCTGTTGGAACGTGTGCTTCACATTGCACCGCACAGTTCTGGTGCCCTCAAGTCATTCAGATAGAGGCCTGGCCCAATTATGAAGTGATATCCAGACATCTGCATGCCTGTCCTTCCTTCCAGTGAAAACCAGAGTGTGATAGAGATGAGCTACTGACATAAGACAAATCTCTATAAATATCTGTTTAAAAAACCCCAATAACAGTAACGTTAGTTCCAGTGTCACATCTTGCCATCAGAGATCAAGAGAATTTCATGTGACTTCACATGAAGTGTGACACCTTCTCACCTAGCCCTAGAAGTAAGCTGTAGCTAGAAGGTGCATCCAGATGCAAAACCAGAAAACAAGCTCCAGGTCTCAAATACAGACTGGGTGAAACTGCTTTTCCTGCCTACCCACCTCTCAGTTAACAAGCTTCCTCTGCATTCAGTTCTTAACCCTGACATACTAATTTCCTCTGGCATCCAAGGTACAGAAATTAAGAAAACAAATGTAAGATAAATTCTCCCATATTTCAAAAGGATATAAAATTCATGTTTTCTATCAGAGATAGCCAAAAGTTCATCGAATTAGAACCACTTTCAACTACTAATATATTACATACATAACTCACTTAAAACCTTTTACATATAGGGAGGATAAACGCTTAAAAATTTCCATTCAGTGTTTTCCTGGAAGAAGCAGTGCTGGCTAAGAGCTTCCCACTAGGAAAAATAAGGATATCTGAAACTGCCAATTCTGTTGATCATAGTGCAGTGAAGACAATTATATTCAAACACATCTTTCTAAAAAAGCCCAGCAACATTCCTGTCAATGTTACACTCTGTCACTAGAGAGTAAAAGGAGAAAAAAACCAACCTCACTCTAAGCTCTGCCGTGATGTTTTCCCAACTTCTAAAAAGGCACAAGCAATATGTCCTTCTGATATTAATATAACCACACTACCAGTTTTAATAGTGTTTAAGGTGAAACTACTTCCTTTCATTGTCCTCATGCATGAAAAAAATCATCACTGGAGTTACTAGAAGGCTGAATATCTGCATGTTTATGAAGAAAGGAGTGATGATTAAGATAAAAGCATCCCCTTACTGATCTCAGGCCGCTTTTTCAGATTAAAGAATAAAATTAAAGAATATTATAACATTAAAAAACTCAGAGCTTGCTGAGGGTGAGTGAGTTCATGATAGGCACAAACTAATAACTACATCCACATTCCTACTGACAAATCACTATACTACAGGTGCATGCATAAAGATTAACATAAACATACTGCTATTTGCTATGGGATTTCTATTTTTCTACTTATATTGTTCTTTTTGAAAATAAATATATTACTCCACCAATAATTTCAACATCCTTGAAGAATATTGGAGAACTGAATACTGTATACACATGCTTGTATGCTACATGACAATGTTGTAGGAGTCAACTGCAATTCTACAGGTCCATTTCTTTGCACAGTTTAAGCAGTTCATTGCTAAATAAAGCCTCATTTCTGTCCCTTTCCATCATATGATTTAGCAAGTGCATATCGAAAAAATGAGTAATTGCATTTGAGTCAACCTGCATGCACTGAAGTTAAGCACTGCTTAAGTGTTGCAGGATTAGGGTTTAAGCTTCCAATTATCCCTATTGCAGCTGTGTGAGATATACCCCAATGAATGCATTTGGCATCAGTTTTAGTTTGCG